AAAGTATTGGTTACCTGGATTAGGAGGAAGAAAAACCCTTTAAAAATCTGCCTGATTTAAATTTTGTATTACTTACCATTAGATTTTGCCTCTGATGTGGTGACCTGAAAATTACCATTGCCTGGCTTCACTCTGGTGACTGAACCCGGGCTAAGCACCTACACCACAACTGGAAGAGAAAATTTATTTACTTTCATGGCATTAACTGCACATTTTAAATTTTTGTGAAGCTTGCATTAATCAGTTATTGTAAAAAAACCTCTTTTCAAACTTTTAAGTGCCAGTGTTAAATAGCAGAGCTTAATGGTATCTTAACATTTAATGCAGATGGTTATTATTCACTTGCTATTATTTATTGATGGTTATTATTTATTAATACTTATGAATACTCATAATAATGAAGTAGTTTCTGCTTTTCCTCCATTCTCCTCTGCTGCTTTCCTCAAAGAGCCCTCCCAGAGCACCCAGGATTAGAAATACCAGTTGGCATTCCAGACTGGAATCGATTCTTGGTTTTCCCGTTGGTGGCTGGGAGCAGCTTTTCCTCCAAAGGTGGCTGACTCGCTCAGAGTTGGGGCACCATCAGTGCCCTGCTGGGTGCTGGCAGGAGGCTGTGAGCTGTGACACGTCCTCTTTGTCCCCTCAGCAATCGGCACACCGCGCGGGTCTGCGCAGCTTCATCCGCTACGGCTGGCGCTGGAGCTGGAGGGTCGCGGCTTTCGCCACCGTGTTCAAGTGAGTGCTCCTGATGGCAGGGGGAGCAGGGCAGGGGGTAGGAAGGGGATGGGTGTACCATGAAAGGAGGCAAACCTTCATAGCATGGTCGTGGTGGCGAAGGAGGAAGTGCAGCATGTAAATCCAACAGTATGCAAAGATGATTAATTGTCCTTAAGCTTTCAGTTGCTGGAGTCACACAGAGCTGGCCAAGCTCTGGCTGAAATAATAGCCAAGTCCAGCAGGAGACCCATCCTGAGATGCTTTGAAGCCCTGCCTCCTCTTCCCCATCACCACCTCTACTCTTGGGGCATTGCTGTTGGGTTTGACATTGTGCTGGATAATCATAGAGGGGCAAAATGATGAATACACAGAGGTTTGCCTAAATATATGGGACAGCTGACTGTGCAAAATCACCACAGGAGATGGGAAGAGTGAGGTGAACAGCACAGTGGAGCAGCAGACACCTTGGCTTACCTCATCTCCCAGGACTCCTACAAATCCAGCTGGGGAGAGCTTGGCAGAGACCCCAACAGGAGGGCTTCCTGCCTTGTCTACTGGGGGCATCAAAGGTTGTCCCAATGACCCCTTCTTCATGTCCTCACCACTGGGACATGGCAAGGAAGCCTGGAAAGAGTAGAACACAGTGCACAGATCAAGCATCCAACCTTGCCCCCATTCATGCCTCAAGACATTTGGATATGCCCTCAGTTGGGACCTGGCAGGAATAAACAAGTCAAACTAATGGAGCAGGTTGGCAAAGGATGGGGAATGCAAAGCGAACTGGAGAGGGAGAGACCATGTCACACATTTGACACCTCTCCCCTCATGCTCACTCCTCTGCAAGTGTGCCTGCATTCCCAGCTGGCATCCACATGTTTGACATCAAGAGGTTCTGGGGTGCCACTGCCTCCACTGGCCTTTTGGATGGCATGGCAGGGGGTTGCTGGTTCTTGTCCTTGCCAGCCATGCCCACTGCTCTGGTAATGATTGAGGCTCCTGGTGTTGCCTTAACCTGAGTCTGGCTGGTCAGGCAGGAGCATGAAGAGGGTTTCACCTTTAGAATTGCCCCAGAATTCTCATCTCCTAGTGGATCAGCACAAACCCTAAATTTCCCTGTTTCCCTAAAACAGGGAAAAGCCCTGTTTGTACATTTGTTACTGATCTGAATGCTGTTCTTTCTTGACAGCTGTGGTATTTTCTGAGACCCCCAATGTAGGGAGGAAATGATGAATCTGACTCCATGTTCTTAGAAGGCTAATTTGTTATTTCATGATTTATATTATATTAAAAAATACCATACTAAACTATACTAAAGAATACTGAAAAGATACAGACAGAAGGCTAAAAGATATTAGTGAAAAATTTGTGACTCTTTCCAGAGCCTTGACACTGCTGGCCTGTAACTGGCCAATAAGTCAAAGCAATTCACATGAGACCAATGAATAATCACCTGTTGGTAAACAATGTTCAAAGCACATTCCAAAGCTGCAAAACACAGGAGAAGTAAATCAGATAATTATTGTTTTCATTTTTCTCTGAGGCTTCTCAGCTTCCCACAATAAATATCTTGGGCCAAGGGATTTTTCCAGAAAATATAGTAGTGACAACATCTGCTTTCTGCTTTTCCTTCATCTCTTTTTATGCTTTTTGTCTGAGGGAGCATTAAAGTGTGTTGGCAGTTTCTGGAACTGCTTTCTAACCCAAACTGGTTTTTGTCCTTTCTGCTATGTCTCCTTACTCCCAGTTTGTATATGCCAGTGGTACTCACAATTGTCACTACTCCTGCTCTGTGTACACTCATGTTACTCACAATTCTTTGTTCTTGTCCTCAGACGCTTGCAGGGGATTGCCTTGCTCTTGAGCAGTTGCTGAATATCAGACCTATCACTTCTCAGTACCTGTTTAGGCCTTCAGATTTTTTCTGCACACACAAAACCAATGCAGAGGGTGTTCTGCTGCCCTCATTTTCTTCCTTGGGTGCTTTGTGCATTCCTGACAATAGAACATCAAACTAAGCATGGTCTTCTGAGCAAAAGCCTTTTAAACTAGAAATGTTGTAATCATATTGCTGTTATCATATTTCTAAAGTCCCGTACCTTCTGGGTGGTTTTCTCAGAGCAGCTCTTCACAGCAGTGCTGTTCCTGCTTCTCCATCAGCACTCCTCCAAGGCTTTCCCTGACCAGCCAGCCCACCCCCTTTTATCCCAGTTATCTTCACTAGACACAGCTGCCACCCAATGAAGGGCATCACAGCTGCAGCCCATTTACAACAACTAGAACTGGGACAGGGTCACTTATACAATACAGAGATCTTTTACTGCCATACATATTTTTACTCAGGCCCCTATATTTCCCCCTTTTCTTTTAACACATTTTTCAATTACACAGTTACAATACACCAATACACATTTTATCCCCCACTCGTTGTTATATTTCTAGAGTCCCAGCTCTCAGGCTGCCACAGCTCTCGGCTCTCCTGTCTTCTATCATGTCAGGGTCACCTAATGTTGTAATCATATTGTTGTTATCATATTTCTAAAGTCCCATACCTTCTGGGTGGTTTTCTCACATGCAGCTCTCCACAGCAGTGTTGTTCCTGCTTCTTCATCAGGAGATCTTTTACTGCAATACGTACATTTACTCAGGCCCCTATATAGAAATATCTTCTTCCCTGTTGTTCAAACCAGTAAATTTATAAATTTAAACCTGCACTGACTTTCTCTGCAGTTATGTTCTGTTTAAGTTCTCCTTCTGCTTTTAAGATCCCACAGTATTGACTGGCATTACTTTATATTTCTGTCTCCTTAATATTTTTGTTCCTCTCTAAATTTCTTCCTCACTGTCTCTTGGTTTTTAGTTTAGTCTCTGTTTTTAGGCTTAGTTAGTGTGCTGTTTGCTTTCTTTCCTGGATCTTTTGATTTCTTTGGGTTTTCTGGATTTCTTTGGATTTGACATGTAACCTCATCGTCTTCCACCAGGTGTCTCCCCTGCAGTCAGATCTGCCCCTTTTTCACCAGCCCTTTGGAACGGGCTCTGAACGAAGTTATTTGCTGCTCCACATTGTTTCTGTAAAGCCCAAGTTGAAAATTCCATCCTGCAGTTGTGAAAACTCCAAGTTTCTCAGTTAAAACCCAAATTGTTTGGGTTTATCTGTGTTGGGAAGGAGAGGAGGATTGCTGCTGGCTTATCAATCAGCAGGAGGATGGGGGATATGTGGCTGCTGAACTGAGAACAGCGTTTTGGGGCTTAGCTGATGTTTAGGAGGAGTTGGTTTGCCTACCTCAGAGGGAAATCTGGTACCACAAGTGTGGGTGACCCTGTTGATGTCATGAGTGTGACTTGGGCTGTTGTACTGGGAACTGTTTACAAGGCAGGATCTTAGGGACACGTGGATCAGCTTCTGGGGTAAATGTCCTACATCAGCACTGGCTGACTGATAGGACCTTTTCATTGCTCAAATTATTTTCTCCTTGACTATATTGCCAGGTCATTTAGAGAAGCTGTGGCTGCCCCATCCCTGGAGGTGTTCAAGGCCAGGCTGAATGGAGCTCTGAGCAACCTGGTCCAGAGGAAGGTGCCCCTGCCTGCAGTGAGGGCTTGGAACTGGGTGACCTTTAACATCACTTCCAACCTAAACCATTCTGATTCTGTATGATAAGAAAGAAAAATCTTTGATTAAAAAGAAGGAGTGTCTCAGATCCAGTTCAGAAACTCTGATATTCCCTGGCCCTGTGTCTGTGCAGCTGCCCACAGTAAAGTCACAGAAGTCACGGCTGGCATGTGTGTGCTCTAAACAGATGGGCAGCCAGGCAGTTAGAGGCAACCTGAGGGCTGGCTTAATGAAATCCAGCTTTATTTCAGGCTGTGTTTTGCTACCCCTCTTTCTCCATGTGCAACTGCTGACCTGTGTGCCTTGCCTTTGCAGCGTGGTGAGCACGGGCCTGTCTGCGTACCGCGATAAAACCACCATCACTAATTTTGCTGCAGCGGGAGGTAAGAGTGCTGTAACCTTGTGTGCTTCTCTTTGTTAGCAAGGCTTAGAGCAGAAAAGCATTAGCAAGTATCCACATCCCTTGGGATTGAGCAGCTTCTGTGCTCTTGGATTTTGTTTCTTATTCCACTGACTTTGCTCTGTTTGCCTGCTGCGAGTCTTTATTTGTAACAGAGATACTGATGCACTGCTGAAACCATTGGGGAGTTTTGTGGTAAGCAGTTCATCTTCAAGATACTTGCTGGAGTGTTTTGGGCGAAAAATCCTTCTGTGGGGTAAAGGTAACACTTGGTGCCTATTTAACAGGGAAAGCATTTTTTATTTCCACTCCTGGTAACAATTCAGCACACTGTTTATAGGCTGCCTTTCTCATGCTAAGTTTTGCATGCCCACTTTTGGCAAGAGGACTCTGGGTATGTGATCTGCTTGTTCAGTTTCACAGGCTCTATTGCCCTTACAGTTGGATACACTTTTTACTGGTCTTTTCTGCCTTACATGGCAGCTGCTATTATTAGCTGTTGTTGAACAGGAAAAAGGGTGAGAGAAATCATTCTGCACCCTAGAGAGGGCTTGGTTTTACTTTCATAGATACTTCTATGATACAGCAACAACTTTGGCAGTTTTTCTGAAGCAGAAGGAACTTTGTGCAATGTTTCAGTGCAGAGGCCATGGTGACTTTGTGGTGAAGGTCTGTCCCACTGGCCATGCACTTGGTTTCTGCTCTGTTAAAAGCAGATGTCAGCTCATGGAGAAGAGAAATGCAGCAAAGCAACTCCCTGTGTTGGTGTGAGATGTCTGTGGCGGGGCTGTTTCTAGTTTCAGTGGGTTTGTTCTTTTTTTTTTAGCCTTCACAGGAGCCCTGTTCAGAGTGCACTTGGGCCTGCAGGGCCTGGCAGGCGGCGTCGTGTTTGGAACGGCCTTTGGGTGAGTTGTGACTGCTGCACACACCGAGCCTGGAGTCACAGGTGGGGCTACAGGAGCTCCCCTTCCTCTCTTGCCTTGAGGGATTCTCTGTATCTCTCATGATGATCACTTTTCTTCCACCTTTTAAACTGTTTTTCTTTTCTTCTTTGTTTCTTGTTTTGTGTTTTGCTGCTCTCTCAGTAGTGAGAGCTCACTGCTCTCAGTAGAGAATCTCATTTGCTGCTGTTTGCTTATTAGAGGGAGCAACATGGGCTCCACCAAAGCTAAAATGTGAGGTAGCAGCCATTAGGAAACACTGAGAGAGTGGCTACATGGCTGGGCTGTAAGGTGACATGTGTCTTTGTGCATGTCTTGCAGTCATGAATCTCCTAAAGTTCCCTGGGGCATGGAGGAACCTATGGTTCTGTCTCAGAGGCTCTGTGCTTCTGGACAATGACCTCTAGCTCAGGAGAAATCAGACTTTTCAATCAGGACTGGGATTTCTTCTCAAAGTGCTGACCTGTAAATATCTTCACAAGGAATCTGAGGATCCTACCTGAAAAAGAGAATGAGCTTTATTTGTGCTGCTTGGCACCTTCAGGATGGTGCCTGCTGTGGGCATTTCTGGAAGCAGCCTAAGGAGCTTTACCAGTGAAAACACAAGTACTTCCAGAGCTGGATGGAAGCTGAGCAGGGATGTCACTGTCTGAAATATAGTTTAGGTGTTCTATGGGGTCCTCACTGGGCACCATAAATCCTTCCACTCCCTTGTCCTGTGTGTGCCTGTCAATGAGCAAATTCAAAATATGTTATCACAGAGGCTCCAGTGAGTCACAGGTTGGTGGGTGACAGTAGAACAGGAGTACCTTAGTCTGTGCTGTGAGTTTTGGGCCCCTGCATGCTCCTTTTGCTGATGCCAGTAAGTTATTGCTGTTGTGTGTCCCCTGGGTGACTGGAGACTGCTGTGCTTCCTCCCTCAGGGTTCCTGCAGGAGGCCTCCTGATGGCCATGTACGGCTTGGCTGGTGAGACCTTGCAGGAGAAGAGGAGCCGTGAGCGCAGGGAGCTGTACGAACAGAGGCTGGCAGAGTGGTGAGGAGCAGCTCTGCCCCTTCAGCTGTGGACTAGGAGGGTGTCTGGGCCTGTGGGTTCAAACATTTAGAGAAACCACAACACACTAGGCTTTCTAAACCTCAGTTCTTCTCTTGGTTGTTGGTGTTGTTCACATACCAGTCGTAGAAAGGCTGATTTAATTCTTCCCAGTCTGTCCTTCATTGCTGCCTTCTTTCCATCCCTATTAAAGAGAGGAAAGAAAGAGGATAGCTGGTGGCTTGGGGGAAAAAAGGCCATGACACTGGTCATGTGAATTACTGAAACTTACTAGTTCTAGAAGAAATTTTCAAGAGCTTGGATTCTGCAGTCATGTCTCTGTCAGGAGGATACAGAAATAAAATTGCTTTGCGCTCTCTCTTCTCTCCTTAGGCAATCCAGGCTCAGTGTGACTGAAATCTTAGGCCAAACAGAAAGCAATGCCCAGGGAAGACCAGAGATGGAGGGAGCAAAAGAATTGAAGAGCTACTGAGTCTTCCCCAGATGTCTGTTGTAAGAAGCTACATAGAATTTTGGTCCTGCTTGATCCTGCAGTCAGGGGATCATGGAAGTTGTCTGTGAATGCAGTTGTATCCTGTGAAAAAGTGTTTTGCTGAAAACATTGTTCAGGGATGGATATCACTGCACAAAGAGCTTGGAAAGGCCAAACCTGTTCCACCTGAGAAGTGGAAATACAGACTTTACAGACCAGGAAGTATCATGTAGCTTTGGGAGGAAGTGAGGGTTCCAGAGCCTCATCTAGAACCCCTTTCACTGCTGAAAATGTCCAAACCACCAGTGATGTAGAAATACTCAAGGTAAAGGAGCCTATGAATGGTTTGTGTGCTAAAGGTGCCCTGAATCCAAAAGTTAATTATGCTCTGGTGAAAGCTGCTCTTCAGACAGGGCCTGAACAGCTTGCTGATGGTGGTTTCTTACTTGGTTCCTACAGTACTTGGGGTATTTTGCAGTCAGTGTGGAAGAAGGGTGGAGGAGCTGGGAATTACATGGAAATACTCTGAAAAAGGCACATTTTGGGTTCTTCAATAGAGGCCTGAGGGTGCCACAGAGAACATGACATTTCTGGTGGTGACAGTGGAAGCCTTGGCACTGTGGACTGCTTTAACAACAAGAAGGCCTCTAATTTCATTTGCAATTTGGTAATCAGGGGATGACTTTGGAGGAAATGTAGTTCAAGAGACTCAATAAAGCCATTCAGCAGTGGTGACTGTGTCCATAAGCTCTTTGTCAGTACAGCTGGTGTTGCTTCTAGTACAGTACTAGAGAAGCATCCTTGAGTGATATTCCTTGAGAAGAGCTCAGAGATCCCACCAGACATCCCTCTACCCAGGCAGTAACAAAGGCAAGAGCCACAGGAGAGCCAGCCAGCTCTGTTATTTTGTTCCAGAGATGAGCTGTTCAGTCAGAGCTGTGACCTGTGGGTGGTGCTGGAGTTACTCTCCACAACATTGTCTGTACCCACAAGGGTGAGGTAGCCCATGACTGTTCCCCCCAAAGCAGAAGGTCAGAATTCCTGTTCCCTTTTCTTGTTCTCCTACTAAAAGGAATTACATCCAGGCAGGATTTTTGGGCGTTCTTCTCATAAGAAAAGAATCTGTTCTGGTTGAATGCTTTTCCAGATAATTAGTGTTGATTGAAATATGAACAGTTGATCCCACAGAGCATATTCCACCCACCCAAAGCAGATTTTTGGCACAGTTTGCTTTCAAGAAGGTGTTGTGTTTTCTGACTCCTGAAGTGAGCATTTAATTTTTTAAACACTCCAGTGTAGCTCATTTTTCCATTGAATAAACACGTGTATTTCAGGGCTGTCATCAGCCAGCTGTGATTTTCCTTTTCTATGTGTAAGTGAAGGATCTGCATAAGCAGAGGTGTGGATATATCTTTCCTTCTTCCTGTTTTAAGCTGTATGTGTTGGTGACAGTAATGGTGGTGTCCTCTGCCCCCCAAAAAAAGAAAAGAAGCTTTTCTAAGTTACATTTTTGCCATTATGCACACACAGCGATGTCTTATCTTCTTCTTTTTTATCTTCTTTCTTCTTGCTATTACATCCCCACCCAATATCCCACACTCTTATCTGCACAGCAGCTCTGATGACATTTAGCTGTGTCATTGCTCTGCCTCTGTTCCTGTTCGGTGGTATTTGATGTGATGCCTAAAGAATACTAATTTTCCTGTGCCTGACCATTGGTGCAGGGATGTTTTTCCACGAGAGGGAAGGCTGAGCCAAGGTGTAGCAGTTGTGTGGATTTTCTCTCTGTGTTACATGTTCTTAAGGGAAGCAGAGACTTCCAGCTACACTCAAGATTAGCAGCCATTTGTTTCTCAGTTTCCTGCTGAATTTAGCTCCCTGCACTTCCTTATTTCTTAGACTCCTGAATGGGGAGTGAAGAATTGGTTCAGAGTTTGTTTCTTACATACCTGTAAAGGATTCTTCACATCCCCACTCCTTTCACCCCCAGCAGAAGCACAGCACTGAAATTATTGACCTTCCACTTCCAGAGTAGGTAACCCAAGGAGCAGGGGTGCAATGAGAACACCTCACTCTGTGTTTTGCTTTTGCAGGGAGCCTCATGTTTGGAGGGAGAACGATGATCTGTGGCAAACAGAGGTGTGAGGGGTGGGAAAGTCACAAGCTGGGTTACCTGAGTGTCATTTTGTCATTGCTGTCAGTACACTGGACAGAGCTGTGGTTTGATGCCAGCTGTACCTGGTACAGCTTTGTCAACACCTGCATCACCTACCTGGATGATGTGAAATGGTGGCTAACATGAATAACAGAGGTTCTACCCACTGCATAGACATGCATCTTTTATTACTAAGGAAAGAAAACCAAGTTTACAATTTATTTTTTAATACAATTAAAGGAGGAACCCCAGGAAACATTATGTACAAAAGATCCAGGGTAAACAGAGCAGCTCACTTGCTACAATGACAGATATGAAGCTGAGAAAGTGTCACAGAAACCATTTGTGTGCAACTCACTGAATACACCCTAAGGCAATAGAAAACATGATCCAGAGTATTAGTGCTTAATGAAAAATGAACCAAAGAACCTGATGCTAGACATACTTGTCAGTGAAATTTTTGGATTCCTTTAGAAGGAGTTACTGGAAGTGTTACTGGAGTCTGTGGTGATGTGAAAAGGTTTGGCACAGAGCAAAAGACAAACCCTTCCCCAGGAGGCTGCACAGTCCCTGGTCAGGAGCAGAAGGAGAGAGCATGGGGTAGTGAGAGGGAAAATGTGCTGGTGCAACTGGCTGAGCTGTGGTGTGGCTGGCAAGGTGCAGCTGCAGGGTGGTTATAGGGAAAAACACTGCTGGAAATCAGCAAAGTTGGAACTGAATGCCAGGAGAGGGTGGTCAGCCTGCAGGGAGCTGGTGGTTTGTGCTGGAGCAAGCATAGGCTGAAAGAACAGGAAACCCAAAAAGTGTGACACACATCACTCATGCACCAAGTCCTGCAGTAAGGTCAGGCTGCCTTTTGAAAACACCCTGATTTCTGTCACTTGTCTTCTGTTTGCATCCAGAACACACAAGTGCAATTGTTTCCTTCACCCCCAGCTTACCTCCTTTTCTCTGTCTAAAACTCCTCTGTAAGAATGTTCTGAAGTTCCCATTACACTTGACACAATGGGAAAGCAGTAAAAAGGTGATAGCACAGTGTGACTCGGCAGGAGTAGGAAGGGAGCATTGTCTCATTTTTTACTTAATCTCAGAGCTCAGTATCCTATAAACCATTTTTAATCCTCCTATTTTCTCCAGCAGTTTCTCAATATGTACCAAGTAGAAAAAAAGTGAAATGGATGGACTATGTCTTTGCTGTGTCCTAGGAAGATAAGCAGCCCAAGTAACAACATATCCCACAAAGAGGATGGCACTGTGCTGTCAGACTTTGGTTTGCCCTGATAACGTGGATAGAACAGTGAGGGAGTGGGTACAGCTTGCAGAGCAAAAGGGATAAAAACATTCCAGTCAAACTCAGGGCAGAGTTGCTTGTGAAGCTTATTGGGTGTTGGGGCATTTTCCTCTTTTTCCCTCAAAATGAGAAGCCATTTTTTCCTACACAGTAGGCAAGAATGTCACCTGGATCAGATGAGTCCTGTTCAATGTTAGCATCCTGTAGGGAAATTCCTTGTAGTCCTGGCTGAGTAGAGAACACTGGCAGAAAGCAGCAATGTTCAATGCAAAGTAAATACCTTCACATTGCTGTGAGAAACTCCCAAAAATCTGCAGAGCTTTCTCTAACAAGTATCCCATGGCAGATGTACACGCAGAAGCAGAGCCAGGTTCATGAAGCAAGGCCCAGAGTCACATTTGATGACAGCAGATACCCAGGAGATCACCTCTGGCTGTCACACAGGGTCCAGTGGGGCTTTCCAGGTGTGGCTGGGAAGGAAGGAATGCACGTGGAAGCTCGGCCATGTGTGTGCACAGGTGGTGTGGCTGTACCTCGGTGCTTGGGCTGGCAAGGCTGTCCTTTCATCCTTTCAGGAGACAAAGGTTATGAGAACTTGTGCCACTGCAGTGGGTAAGCAATATTCATTAGTTCTTAGGAGTGCTGTCAGTGTGTATCATTCCCTAAAAAGTCTCATAGCGCTGCAAATAAGCATGAGGCACACAGACTCACTTGCAAGGTGTCTTTTTCTCATGAAAAACCTGCCCACTATTTCCTCTTTAGGGGAAAAGGGATGTGTATCTGTAATGGTCGAGTCCAAATCCAAAGTCCTCCAGCAGGAAGAAGAGATGCTTGTGTGAGGATGAACATTAAAGAAGTTTTGGCTGCTCCCACTCACAGCGTGGAGGCACAAACTGATGAGATTGCATGTCAGGATTTGGGGTGTCCCAAAGGGCAGCTCCGTGTTATTGAAGGGGTAGGTGGGCATTTGCTCCCTGCTAGGGCTCTGCAGGTCCCTGATTGTCACAGAGAGTTGTCACAGAGCAGGTTGCTGAAGTCCTGGTGTGGCACTGGTGACATCCTTCTGCCACTGCAGGAACACGGAGGCTCCTCTCAGCTGGAATCCCTGTAACGAGGCCACCGCGGGGCTTCGGTGGCGTGGGCAGGGTTTGCATCGTCCACAGGAGATCGTGTTCCAGACGTGGTGAGCAGAGAGTTCTGCTGCTGCCACCCCCTCGCAGAGAGCCAAGGCAGCAAGCATCGCTGTGCAACCAGCAGTGGAGTCTGCAGCGCGGGACGCACAGCGGGAAGAATCTGAGGGGCCCAAGGAAGAGATGTCACTGATTTTTTTGTTTTTTGGTTTTTTTTCACACCTTAAATGTAGCCCAGTAATGACAAACAGGTATCACCTGCGAGAGCCCTCCACAAGAGGGCTCCTGCTCCCTAAACTCGGAGCTGTTCTGGCCCACGCTCCCCGCAAAAGCCTTGGGAACAGAGTGAGGATGACTCGGGAACGTGCTTCCCTCTTTAAGCAGCAGCAGGACATGGCAGTCAGCCACCAAGGAAGCACAGCTTCCATCCCACTCCACAGACAGCTGGAGTCGGGAAGCACCAGCCACCTACAGGAAAATCCTGGCAAACTCTTACAGCAAAAGAGAATGGGTTTATTCTGTAGGTGAACTCCTGCCACTCCCATCACAAAACTCCCCCAAATTCATGCTAACCAAGGCTCTAGTATCTGTTCCAGACAGGGCCTTCCCCAGAGGAAAACATGAGTGGGTGGTCAGGTTTGGAAATGAGACAAGTGGCCTGAATGAGAGTTTCCCCTCCTTTCCATCTCCAAGCTATTGAATTTTTAGATTCTGCAGGGCACAGTTTGACAAAGTTGTGACTTCCAGGACCCCACAGCTGTTGCTGTAGGGCATTACCCTGGCAATTCTGCAGGCAGTACCCTGGCAATTCCCCACGCTGTGGTGAGAGCAGGACATGCAGTCACCTGGATAATGATGTGAATAAGAACAGTTAGCTGCTAATCTTCACTAAAGTGTCTTTTTGGAGGACACAGCCCTGAAAACTGCTGAGCTCTCAAGCCAAAGCAAATATAATCCTTTGTAATCATAAAACCTTGGCAAGCCAGACTTCCCCAGCCCTTCTTTTGTAACACTCCATTATCAAAAGCAACTCCTTTTAAAATATGAGTGTTTTCTGGGCCAGCTTGAGGGAGGAAATTTTCCTTCTCTGTTCTTGCAGCTGCTGAAGGGAATGGACATATCTCAGCAGTGGACAGGCATGTCTGATCATACTGGGAAAGCTGGAGTCGTTCTTTTGCTCTCCCTCCCTTACCACCATTTGGTCAATGCTCAGTTTCTATCATCAGTGATGTTCCCATGCTGAGGCATCAGGTCAGGCTCACAGGGAATCAGCCAGACCCTCTGGAGGGTGAAGCCACGTGTGGCACCTGAGGTAGGGACGAGTGACTCACAAATGAGCCCAACAGGAGCCCAAAAACACTGCCCAGTGTTCAGCTGAGAGGCCCATGAAATGAGCACAGGGGCAATGGCAGGGGATGTCCCTGCAGATCTGACAGCTGGGTGACCCGTGCTGGTTTGAGCCAACATTGCACAACCATGCAATGGTATTTGAGAAACTGTTTTGCCAAGAGGAGAGTGAAGAAAAGTACCTGCAAATGCTATCTGGTCATACAGATGATGTTTCAGCTGTCACTTTATAGCTCATGGGTGCCTTTGTGTGTTCTTTCACACCCTCTTCCACAGAATCCTGGTGATTGCAACAGCGGGAACAAACTGAAAAAGAAGATCCTTTATTAGTATATGGATATGGTGCTGATAGAGAGCTCTGTTACAAATAAATATTATCTATATACTGTCATGGGGATAAAACTGCTCTCGTTAGCACAGGGCACAAGAACAGGTTGAAACATGCTGAGATAAGGTCAGAAGGGAAATAATGATGGAAGTTCCATGTCACTAATTGAAGTTTACCTATCGAGTGAAAGAATGCCTGTGTTAAAACCAACAAATCCTTTCAGTGCTTTAAGAGGATCCCAGATTAAGCAGATCCCCTTAATATCTCACCATCTATGGCTGAATTTCAGTAGTTCAAGTTGAATCTTGTGCAAAGGTGCTGGCACAAATTATGACACGTGAATCCTAAACTATTCTTTAGGTGACATCTAATCTTGGTGCTCTGTGTTTTCATTTTTAAATTACTGCAAAACAGGCTGTGAGCTCCTCAGAGTAGGTGGCTGTGAACCTCAACAAAGCACCTGATTGTTCTGGCTACCACAACAATCACGGATCTGAGAACTTTTTAGTTTTGTTTTGCTCTGCCTTTCTATTCCTCCCTCCCACACTTCAGCTCTTTGAAGCATGGCTTTTTGAGCTCAGAAACCACTCTTAGCAGCTCCTGACTCAGCTTTCCATAGCCCAGAACAACAGAGGCACTCTCAGACCTATTCTGAGCTCCCAGGAGAGCTCTTGACCTGCAGCAGCACCCACAGGAAGCATCTTGGGGCAGATCCTGCCCTTCCCAGACAGGTGCCCGTGCACAGCAGCACTGAAATGGGACAATCACACAAACTGGAAAGCTGGATGCAAGCTCTGGCTTCAGTTTCTTACACTTCTTGCAGTTTCTTTTACAGTTTCTTCCATGCCTGGTCTGGAAATTGGCCGAACCAAATAGCACCACCTGACTCAGTATATCTACTCCCTGGGCATATTATGGAAGTGGGACTAAAAGGGAAATTCCAGTTAATTTGGCCATGTGCCATGCTGTTTGCAGGTGATTGCATTCTACCACATGGGTATGCTTTTTACATCTGCTTTCAAAGCAACTCAGTTCCTATTTAAAAGGCTATTTCAGTGTGCTCCAGGATCTTGCTAATTTAATGGTAAGGAACCTTTTAATTTCCAGCCTATATTTGTTGAGAGCCAAATCTTCTGATTCCAGTTCATTTTCTCCTATAATTAGAAGTTCATTATACATGCAGCTAACAGCACAGGCTGTGATCAACTGTGATTTTCTTGGTTTCAGCCTGCTTGTTGCTTTCCTGTTGACACAGCCCCAGGGAACAGCAGGGGAGAAGAACTGGCACTGGTGTCATGAGGGCACAGGGGTGGAAAATGAGGAGCTGCACAGGTGTGACCCAGAGCCTCAGCCTTCCAGAAACTTCCTTTCTTTGTGATAAAACACTGAAAGGAAATTAGCCCAGCTTGACTCAGTGGTCACCTTGGATTTTTGAAGGGATGTGGTTGATGAGGAGGGGAAAAGAAAAATAGTAATGAGACCTCCACACATGTGCCTTGGGAGTGAATTTGTGTGAAACTGAAGTAGAGGTACCAGAAGACAGAAGCAGGGAAAACTTGGAGGTGTCTGTGAGAGGGCTGAGCCCTTGCTGCCCAGAAAATGACCTTTTCCAAGGGGGAATACCACGGCCAGGGGGTGAAAGTGGCCTGAGCACAGAGCCCTCAGTGTGGGATTCTCGTCCCCAGATGTGGCCTGGCAGAACTCAGCTGGGTGTTATTTATCCTCATGTATTTCCAGGGCTGCTCTGCAAAGCTGCTCACAGGCTGTGGATAAGGCACCCACTGCTGTTGACTTTCAATCCTACCTGCCTTCATAAATCCATTAAATGCCTGCCCACATCTTCAGGGACTTTCTGGCAAGGTCAGCTTAGACATGATTAGGAGCAACAGCTAACAGATAGGATTTTTCTGAAGATAAAAAAATAAATAACTCAGCTGCCCACCAACCCTGAGATATCTGAGGTCCCCTTTGCCATTGAAAAACTCTTGGAGACTTGGCTGGAGTCACTGAAGACTTCACAAGGTGGGACCAGACACTTTTCCTGTGCTAATTTTGGCTGTACAAAGAACACAAACCTAACTCTCCTGGTTGGTGTTCTCATAAAAGTGGGACATTGCTCTGCTGAAGTCTTTCCTGTGGCCCTAACACAAGGTATTTTTGTTACTTTGGCTCAGTGACTTTCTGAGGGATGATGTAGGGTGTGGAGAGAGATCCAGTTTTGAAGCTCTCAGTGCTCAGTTGTATCTATCATGATCACCAAGATTCTTGGCATTCTAAAGTATCTTAAAGCATCTTAATACATAAAAATGAACCTTTGTGAACCTCTTCATTATCCCTGATTTTGGAAATTGTTTGATCTGCTGTCAAAACTCCCTGTCACCTCTCCACTCTCAAACCTGAACTCCAGTGTTTCCTGCACACAAAATCATGAGCTAGACTTAGATTTTGTGACAGTGGATGCTAAAGGGGAAAAAAAAAAAAAAGGGAAATGAGAAGAAGGTACAGAAATACCTGGTGTGACAGCAAAGTTGCTATAAATGTGTATCCTACATAGAAACTTCATCAGCACTAAGAAACACCTTCCTGAAAAAGGAAGCTGCACTTACCATGCCTTGGGAGGTATCTTGCAGCCAGGGTGATAGCCAGAATGAAGGTGATAACGATGATAATTGAAGCAGTAATGACATTATAAGGCAGAGGCGCAGGAGGAACCACGCAGTTGTTTGTTTTTTCTGAAACAGGAGAAATAAAACATAAATAAACCTTAAAGGATATTGGCGTTTTCATGTAAGAGCAGGTATGTGAATTTCAGGGGTTCTGGCCAAATTCTAACTCAGCTATTCAGCCTGAAAATTGATTTACTCAATAAACAGGCAAACAAAGCTGAAATTTCACCTAAATTTCTTCCATTCACCCACATTTGCTATGGGCTGAAATTTTTAACACACTGAACCTAAGAGGCTGGGTCTTTGTGCAGAACAGGACTGAACAGGAAATATTTAGACACACAAACTGTTTCAGGGAAATGAGCTACGCTTGGTGGAAAACTCTGAGTTCACAGCTAGAAAATTTCTGCTCTCAAAGATACTCTGCACTTTTCCTTACTGTTTTCAGCAGATTTATGTCTAATTCTTTTCCTTTTGGAGTCACAGGTGAAGCAGAATGCATACCAAAATGGGAGTGGTTCCACATCCTAAAAGCCAAAAAGTGGGGGGTTTGTGACTGCTGTGGCTGTGTCACTGCACCCTGCTCTGATTGCTGCTTTTCTTTTTGTTGTTGCTCTCTGTGTTTCTGTGTAGTGAGCTATTCATAACCTTGTTCTCCCTTCGTTAGGGACATTATGCTCTACATCCAGCCACAGCCAATATTCATAAAGCACTAGTTCCTGGCATTTGTTCTGAAGCTGAATGGCACTTCTCCCCACAAGCCCCTTTGATTTTAGTAAGATAGATGAATAAGCTACCTTGATGAATAAGGTACAATTCCCTAGGAAAAATGCTGCTCCTCTGCCTTCCCTTGAAGGTGCCCTTATCTCCACAGTAAAAACATCAGGCCCAGAGATATTTCAGAATACTTTTTTGGTAGCAACATGGAAAAAAAAAATCCTTTTGGTTTTACGAATTTTCTTGCAAATCCCCTTCTACTGCAAAACATCTGGAATGTAGTGTGCTGCCTTCCCTCACGCTGTTTCCACTTGTGCCTCAAGCTTTTCAAAGCACAGACTTATCTATTATGCCATCACTTCTAAGCCATGCTCAGTGATGGAATTCTTTTCCTATGAGTTAACCCTATGTTACATTTGAAAGCAGAATTTTGTCTAGACCCCAGCTGACAGTTTCTTTCACTGAAGCAGGGACAAACATGCTTGTTAAATGAGGAAATTCTTTTAAAGTGCAGCCTGTGGCTATTAAAGCACACGCGCTTCTCTGGTCCCTCTGTTCAAATACCAGGTCTGTGTCACACAGCTGGCAGCAAAACCATGCTGGTATGGAGGGGCACAGGGTAGTGGCAGCCTCAGAGAGCCACCAAATGTGACATTACCAGGTCACAACAGGATCCAGTTCAGCTCTCAGAGCAGCAGGAAGACAGAGCTGCCTCTGCTTGTCAGTCACTGTTTCAGTGTTATAACTCTCCCTTCCCACCCCAGCTATCTTCCAGCCTCTAAAATATTTCGGTGTATAATTCAAAGGCAGGATCATTGGGTGATCCTTGCATGAACACTTGCACAAAATCTGCTGCATTCTATAGAGGTAACTCAGCAGATGCAAGAAAATAGTTTTGTTACAAAAAACACGAATAAAACATACTCAGAAGCAAACTGGTGGACGTAGCAAAGCCACTGTATTCAACGGAGCAAGTGATGGTGACGTCTTTGGTCACGTTGAGCACCCTTTTTCCAGTGACGTTGTAGGGGCTGAAGCTGGACTCAGACACCCAGCTGGCATTCCACTCCATGGACATGTTGTTGAGGGCTCCAGAGAGTGTGGCCTTGGGGAAACCTCCATGAGAAGAACAGGTTATCACCATCTCAGTCGACTCGCAGGAGTCAGCGGTCACTTCTGCCGTAATGTTGGGCTTGCTGAAGTCAGCTGCAGCAAGAGAGGTTTGGTTACCATTCTGTCAGGCCTCAGAGAGGGTTGCACCCCCAAAACCAAATGGTTACCATTCTGTCAGGCCTCAGAGAGGGTTGCACCCCCAAAACCAAATGGTTACCATTCTGTCAGGCCTCAAAGAGGGTTGCACCCCCAAAACCAAATGGTTTGGTTACCATTCTGTCAGGCCTCAGAGAGGTCTGCAGCCCCCAAAACCCACAGCCAAAGCAAAGACTCCCCCACCTGAAGGGCACTCACCATTGGAAGTTTTTTTTGCTTATGGGCTGGGATACCAAGCAACCAGTCACTAGTGAAAGGAACTTGCCCAACACTGTGTGGCTGAGCAGTGGCAAGCAAGGAGAGACAGTTTTCCCTCCAGGCCCACTGCCATCCAGTCTGGAAATCTCCTTCAGATGTCCCAGCCTGATTCCAGCATTTCCCTTTCCTGATCCCCACAATAACTTTATCCCAGCTCACCAAAGGGAGCAGAGGTCTGCTGTGGTATTCATATTGTTATTATCATATTTCTAGAGCCCCATGTCTTCTGGGTGGTTTTCTCACAAGCAGCTCTTCACAGCAGAGCTGTTCCTGCTTCTTCACCAGGGCCCCTCCAAGGCTCTCCCTGACCAACCCACCCACTTTTATCCCAGTTATCTTCACTAGCCACAGTTGCTGCCCATCACAGCTGCAGCCCATTTGCAATAACTAGAATCGAGGCAGGGTCACTTATACAATACAGAGATCTTTTATTGCCATACATAATATTTACTCAGGCCCCTATAGTCTGCCATAATTATTTCAGCTGGCCTGTTAAGACAGCAAGGGGATTTCTGGCCAGAAGGAAACTGGAGTATTTGGGGACAGGAAAAGAGATCCGTAGTTTTATGGGTTTTATGCAGTTAACTCCTCAACCCTCATGGTTTAAAAAAGGTGCTGGCAGTACACTTCCCTTTTGTCATGCCAGTTCCCAGAAAGATCACTAAATTTGTCTCCGTGCACATATGCCCTCAGACCAGCAGGAAATGGCCAAACCTCAGGAGCTTGTCTTTTTTTTTGTTGCCAAATCTCCTGACTTATCTGGAAGATGCATGTAACTCTCTGCTGTTAAAGGTATTCAAATGCATGTATATATTTATATATGTCACTGGTATCTCTGGTTGAGATCAACTGCCACAAAAACGCTGGTGGAAATGGAAACTGTCAGTGGAACTTTTTGTGGGCTACCAATCTAAGAGAAGATTCAGATTCATTTTGAACAAAGGAACTCGGTTTCTTTAATGTAAAAAGCCTCAAAGCTCCATGATTAATTCAGCCTTAGGCTGTGGAGCTGCAGTGCAGCTGGCTCCACGGGGGTTTGGATGCAGGGCTGGGATGCTGCCATGGCCACCCTATTTCTCTTGAATGCTTGGTCTTGCTAAGGGTAAGACTGAGGGCTTGGTTTTGTTTTGCCCCAAAGACAGCTGCCTCAGGCACCCATCACCAGTGGTACCTGGGGAGGGCCTCAGGAGGGATCCTTTCACAAGAGGAAGACACCAAGGGGAGAGGTTGGGAAAAAAATTTCTGTACCTGGGGCTGGTTTAGAAAGGTAAGAAGGGAGGCTGCTGGAATGGAAGCAGTTAATAAGCTTTCATTACTGTAACTTAGCAAGTTAACACTCTTTCAAGCTTCCTGATGAAAGTCTGTCTGCTACGGTATGAAAAAGCTTGGAAGAGCATCCCTGACCCCCAGAAGCCGGCACTGGAGAGGCAGGAGGAGCCAGGTGTCAGTGACAGGAGGCAATGCCCGTACCTGTGACAGAGAGGATGACAGACTCGCTGCACACCAGCACAGAGTTGCGCTGAACCACGCACTGGTAGGAGCCGTTGTCCAGGATCTCCACGGGGGAGATCCACAGCGTGAGGTTCCAGGGGTCCATCTCTGTGCGGTTCTGGTACCGCTCGTGCTGGGAGATCACCTTCCCCTCGGAGTAGGCCAGCACCACGTCGGTGACGTTCTTCTGCCAGTACACCCGGTACTTGTGCAGGCTTTCTGAGCTGGGGATTTCATGGCAGCAAGGCAGGCTGGCCTTTTCCCCCGCTTTGCTTCTGACCACTTTCTTCTCCAGCGCTTGGCCTGCAGGGGAGGGGCAAAGAGGAGCCAGTGAGTCAGTGAGTGGCGCAGCCTTGTGCCAGGACCTGCTGCCCAAAGCTCACCCCTTTGGCCCTGACTGCTCACATCCCTCATCAATCAGCCCCTGAGCTGTTCAACAGCCTCAGCTCTGCACTGAGGGCAGCCATCCTTGGGCACTGCCTGGTACACCACACTCCACCCCCACTCAGGATCATGACCCAGCAGGCACACAGGGATTGCTGAAGGCAAAGGCAGGAGAGGTGCTTGCCTGAACACAAATTTTGCTGGTCCCTTTGAAAACAGGGATAGGAACACACATGCACAAACTGCTATCTCCTCTGCTCTCCCTTTTCAGAGCCTGGTGTTTGGAAAATCTGTGTCACTCTCCACTGGGTTCTCTGCATGCCTAACAGGGCCACAGTGGACTATTTGCTCAGGGGGGCTCAGGGATTTTTGGTAGTTATATTTTCATAAGGGAAAAATCCCCAAAACATTCAAGATCCTAGAAAATAGAATCAGCCTTACAATGATACACAAAAGTTGCAGCCACACTATCATCAGCCTTCCAGCATTATCAAATGAACAATTTTGCCTAGTCTAGCTAGAACAAATTTATCTTTGTGAAAGCTCATGGGATGACATGGAACCAGCACAGATGTTCCCCAGCTCCTGGCCAGTGACTGTGCTGGCGCCATACCTGGAGTACAGCCATGTGCTGACAACAATAAGTTGAGACCCTTGCAGGGTGAAATTAGGTACAACTTTGAGTATGTGAGTAGTAATTCCCCAACTAACCACCCCGCTGTCGTGATCTGCCTTGCTTTCCCACTCCTTCCTCTTTCCACATCCGAGGGAGCAGCCCAGCAAGAAGTTCCTGCTGCTGCTGGAAAGTGACCCAGCACGGACACAGACCCCTGAGCTGCACCTGAGTTAGTGCAAGCCTGGGGATGATGTGCACGCAGCTTTGTTAGTCCAGAAGATCAGGCTGCTCTCTGTCCTGCTGGCCTGGCACTCATCTCCAGTGGTGGAAGTGGGATATCAATCTGTTACACTCCTGAGAGCAGAAAAACAAGGAAAGAGCTGTCCTCAGGACAGAAGAGATTCAGATTCCCTCTTCTTTCCCTGCAGAACACACCTCAGCAAACACACCTGGGAGAGGAAGCTGGAAAGTCCTGCCAGGCTGCGTGTCACTGACGGGGACAGCGCAGCATCACCCACCGGTGCAGGGGACGGCCCACGTGCTGAGCTTGAGTGCGAGCTGAGCAAAGCACAAAGCTGAGCCTCAGAACGCTGCCCCAGCACAGCCTGGCTGATGCTGGCTCACCCCTGGCAGCCCCAGCCCCACTGCAGCCCCGCTGTCCAAGGCAGATGCAGCGCCCAGGCCGGAGCGGGATGCTGCGGCATTCACATTCAGCCGCGTCCAAGGCAGCCACCAGCTGCTGCCCGGCCAGCCCTCATTTGCTTAGCAGTGACTCACAGACCCTGGGGTGACTCACGGACCCTGGGGCCACTGTCACAGCAAGACCCCTGCGGTGACTCGCTCACAATCCCACAGCTGCCAGCGCTGGAGGGAGACAGGCAGATGCTCAGCCAGAGCCCCAGCACAGCTGGAGTAAAGGCCAGACACAAACAGAACATTTAACAGACCTGTGGATGTGGCACTCAGGGACATGGTTTATTGATGGACTCAGCAGGGCTGAGTTAAAGGTTGGGCTCAAAGATCTTAAAGGTCATTTCCAACCTAAATGATTCTGTGATTCTGTGAAATAAATTTCACTCCTCTCCCCTGCCGCACACCCAGCCCTGCCCCACTTGCATACTTGACATTAAATCCGTAGGAAACACACCAAAAATACTGTGGAGGTCCTGGCAACACTATGGAGTGTTTTAATATTAGTTAAAATAGAATATGTAATTAAATTAGCAACTTCTTGTTTAACTGGTTTCCTTCTACTCAGCCACTCCACTGGTTTTCCAAAGGGAAAGTTTCATTATTTCCCCCACTTCCTGTACTTCCCCTTCTAATGCATTGCTGATCCTGAGCAACCAGGCTGGGGCAGGCCAGGAGCTGCTCAGCAGACTGACCTCTGTCAGCCATCAACTGGTAACAAAATGAGAGAAAAACTAATTCTTCCACACAGGAGAAAATCTGCCTTGTCTTGCCAACCTTTGCAGCCTGAAACTCAGGATTTCTTGACATCAGCATTTAAATTGCTGCTGCTGGACCTATCCTGCAGGAAGAGTTCTTGCCCTTTCAGGAATGCCCTTTCAGCAATGCCCTTTCAGGAATGCACATATATTTTTGGCATTCACAACATCCTCTGGCAACAAGTTGTGCAGTTTGATTACATGCTGTGTGAGAAAGAATTTTGTTCTGTTCACCTTAAAAGCAGCCCACCTCAGGCTGTGATTGCTGAAGTTGCTCCTCCTGCTCCTCTGTGTGTGTTTGTGTGTACATGTATTTTTATCTTTGACCACATCTTTGCTTGTTCTCACAGTGCAGCTCTTACTATTATTGGAGAGACTCGAAAGAGCAGCCAGTCAAACATCCAGTCAAAGTTTGGGACTGATAAGGATCATTTTCTATTTCCTTTTGCAGCAATAGGGGAAGAGTAGGTGTACAGTAAATGTCAGGGTGACATCACATCATGAGTTGCATGAGGTTCTCCCTACCTTGCCCCTCAGAGTCTCCTTTGCAACCAAAAGGAGAACAAAAACCTTCTCGGGAGTACATGTGCAGGGGCTGGAAACTCCTGCTGATGTCATGAGTACCCTTAAAAGGCTCTGCACCCTTGAAACTGCAACCTGAGTGCTGCAAGCCTGAAGGAACCAAAGTCCATGAAGAGTCATTCAGCCCTACAAAAGTCCCCTTTCACTTTAGAGGTGAACTGCAAAGCAAAAATGAAAATCCAGTTTTGTGCCGTTTCTGCGCTGAATGCTCTCTGCAGCCAGGCTGTGGGAAAGGTGTTCACCATGGAAATCATTTTTAATGACTTTTCTAGAAAAAGATCCCTCCTCTTCCCACCCCTTGGAGCCCACCCACTCTCTTGCTGTGCACACACATTACTCCATCATTGGAAGCCCATGGCAATGCAGAACTGATGGAAGGGCTGACTTTCTCTTCCCTGGGCATGAAAGTTTGCTTCATTCAAAGTATGCTGCAGATGCCCCATGCAGCAGGGCCAAGTGGAACAGAAAGGAATATAGAGGAGAATTGTTCCTCCTTGTCTGCTCCAGAGTCAGGAGAGCCTGTATCCCTATTTCCTGCACTCTTTGCCCAAGCCTTGACCCAGAAATTCCCCAGCCACAGAGAGCTTTGTTATCCTGACCACACATGCAGCCAGCACAGGAGAGCAGATTTCCTCTGGCACAGAGATGTGACAGCAAAAGGCAGCTAAGGACCCAGCAATGCCCTGCAGAAGCAGCCTCAAACTGCTGGAAACCTTCAGATAAGTCCTGGTGAACAGAAGCTCCAAAGCCATTCTTTTCCCCTGCATTCCCCATTTCTCTGCCCTTCTGAGCCTAGCTTTGCTTTTTTTCCTTCTGGTTCCCTATTTATTTTTGCAACAGCAGCTGGTATCTCTGATCATAAATTAATGGCATCACTGCCTTTGCCCAGGACCATGCACCTGGGATTGCCACTCTGCAGGTAATTCTGCAGCCCAGACCCCTCACTTTTTGTGAGTAGCACATTCACCCCAAACTTGCATGATTTATCCTTTGAGGGCACTGCAGTATTTTACAGGGATTTCCAAGCCAAATGAGTAAAAAAATCAAGACACTTTGAAAAGCTGAATCTTTAAAAGACTAGACACTGCCCCTTGATCTTGTCTTTATCCCGGGTGATTTTACCAACGAGGAATGAGATCCTCCCCAGGATTTCCATGGAGGCAAAAGCCAGCAAATGTCCTGTGCTACACATGAAATGTTTTGTGTTTAAATCAGTGACTCCTGTGAACACACTGATGGCAGCAAGACCCTGCTGGATGCCCAGATAACCTCTGTGTGGAGACACTGGCTCAGTGTCTGGTGCTCATCCTAGGGCATGATGATGGCATGGCAGCTCTGAGGCAGGGAAATGCTCTGAACAGGTTTTTCTATAAGTTCATCCTTGCTTTCTTCTGTGCATAAAACCTCAGGGTACCCCAGCCATGGTTTTATGCACTGCCCATCTTTATGCTGCCACATTCCTTCTAAACAAAGGAGTAACCCTGGTTTGCCCAGCTCCATACTGCAGATTTGGCAATTATTATAACACTCCCAGGGTGTTTTGGTGTCCCACTCCATCAGCAGCCTTCACACACCATTTTATTTTGTGTGTGTTTGCACACCTTCACCTGTAGTGAAGAAATCCCTGAAGCCATGGAGGGGCTCTGAAAACCAGAGGGTGATCTGCAATTATCATCTGAGAAGACAAGAGGGAATCTGAAATACCTGGGCAGAGGGGCTCCAGCTGACACCTCCTGCACCAGCTCAGGTTTCAGGCCTTGTGCAGATACAAATCTCCTGCTCTCTGAGTCAGCCTGGGCCAAGCCAGCTGCCCGGGTATGTCCAGGCTGCTGCGTTTGTAACATGAGTAAAGCCGCGACCCTGCACAAATCACTGCAATGCTCTCAGCCTGGCACCAGGCAGCAGGTCAGATCCAGCAAGGAGCTGGATGTGGAACCTGAATTACTCACAGGTGGGGACTGGATCACGTCTTAGACATTTCCCTCCACTGCAGAGTGGGAGGAGAGGATGGAGAGCTCTGCAAACCAGCAGGGACACACGGCCGTGGGGACAGAAGGATGTCTGTGACTTGGAGAAACGAATGAAAGAAGAGAGTTTCTGAACCTTCTCCCCTTCTCCATTCCCAGCCTGGTGACCCTGATAGAATAAAAAGGGCTGGGAGCACCCCTTAATCTAGATGTCCTCAGAAAATTTGCATATTTGATTTCCTTTAGAGATCAAATTCCTGCATCTTGCTCAGCACTCTTGATTTCCCGGTTTGGGAGCAGAAGCTA